AACCCCAAATGACCACCAACAGACACAAAATGGTGACGGAAAGAGGTGCAGAGCGTCTACAAAGGGAAGCAAAACGTTCATCTTGTGTCTTTCTGATTCTTTAGTGTACATACCTACACCCAGGACCCTGTTGTCCTCTAATCACAGTCACAAATAATGTCTTTATTTCCTATTAGAACCAACACCGGGGCCGCAAAGTTGTCGAGCTCTTCAGAGTCTATTTCGGTCCGTGTTTACTGTTTTTCTGCTGTGAATGATAACGCCTGAGTGGGCAGCAGTATCATAAACCCATGGAAACAATAGGTATCTCTGTGTAGGTGTCTGATAAAGTTATCAGATCACTTGCTTCAGTTGCATGAGTACAAGCATTTATCTGGCATGCAAAGGTTGAGACTTTCCACTCCCGCTCCCCGGCAGCGCAGGTAGACGAGCTCCGGCACGCCTTTAGGGGTCGCGCCGGTTGACCTCAGCTTTCCAGCACCTCCGGATGACCTTCTGCCTCAACATCACAGTGCGGTAGTTCATCATGTTTAACCGCATATTCGTACAAATAGCCTGTGTGTTGCAAACACTGGCGTCTTTGTAGCCCTGCCGGCCTGCTGCTATCATAGAAACGTGGCAGAAACACGCATTTCAAATTTAGACAACACGAGGGAGTCGTCCTGCTAAATCGTTTTCACGCTCCAACAAATATTTAGACTTTCCAGGAATAAAAATTGGAGATAGTTTATGTGACAGCTCGTCCATCCACAAGATACACCGAGATCTGTTCGGTCATTTGTTGTGTATTACTGCCGCCTACTGGATGATCTCTGGAGTTTATTCTACCTGAACAACCAATGAGTTCCTTCTGAGTGGAAGTTTTCCTTACGTTTTTTTTCTCAGCAATCAGTAGAAAAGAATCAAACTATGACCAAACCTTCATGTCTCCACTGGGATTTTACTCCATTCCTCTTTTTTTTTGATGATCTCCAGGTCTTTGAGGTTGAAAGCTTCCTTCCAGGTTACCTGTGAAGATTCTCAGTCATCCAGGTCATGGTTATTCTCGTAGATTAATCGTATCAACTGGACTTGCTTGAGTTCCTTGAAGACGTTCCACCTCTCATCCAAGAGGTTTCATCAGTTCTCACTGACTAGTTGGGAGTTCCAGATACTTATATCCAGAAGGGGCCAGTCCTTCCAGGTTTTCCAGCCTCTTGATGGAAAAACACTCCTAAAGTATTACATCCACCACCACCATGCTTGACCTTGGAGATGGTGTTCTTTCTTTTACTAAAGTCAAACAGCTCCATTTCCATCCAATCAAACCACAGAGCTGATGCCCCAAATCTTTCTTCTTTGTCCAGGTGAATTCTTGCAAAGACGATGTGAGCTCTTGCTTCTTTTTTTTTGTAAATGTTGGTACCAGAATTGCTCAGATTAATCATGATGGTTCTTGGTGGTGTTCCTTGGATTCTTCTCAACTTCCATTCTCGCCAGCACAGGGCTACACATTTGGCTTCCTACCAACCCTTTGAGAGTTTTCACAGAGTAGAACTCCTCATACTTGAGGGGTTCAGTGCCAAAGTGGGCCAAACCACAAAAAAGTTGAGTTTTTTTGCTAAGTGTTTATGGTTGACTAGTTGGTGGCAAAGTGGTCCAACCAACAGCCCACTAGTAACGTCACAATGCGACTTTGAAGTTTGGGCCATGATGGTTTTGGCATGAAAATTTAGTGGCAAACTGGGTCAAACCACAGGAATTGCTGACCGTTACATCGCAGGTAGTTGCACATGTTTGTGATTCAAGATGGCCGACAGCCCCATGAAAACTCAACTCAAGGTAAAATAAAAACTTCACTAACCACCACCAAGCATCTATTTCAACCCCATGGTCCTCAAAAGTATCTTTAGTTCCTTATGATGTAAACTCTTCAGTGCTGTTTAGCAAGACAAACCTTGGATCTGTTTTTTTTTTCCAAAAGTAGAAAATGTGGTACGGCCCGCTTTGGCACTCAGCAAAAGGAAATTAAAACTAAACAAGACATCACAAAGTAGCTGTTTCTATCTCTGGATGGTGTTGGAACATCTTTGGATGCCAATAATGACTCCTCCAACAAGCAACACAAACCTTTTCCCCACTAGTAGAAGTGGTTTGGCCCACTTTGGTACCAACCCCCTCACTTGTTGATGACACTTAGCACTGTGGCCACCAGCCCTTTAAAACACTTGGATGTGGTTTTACAGACGTTCTCCGCCTCGTGAGCAGCTATAATATGCAGGCAAATGTCCTCAATGCGGTCGAAAAAGATGCAAGTGACTTTGAAAAGGGAAGACTGGGGAACAGGTGGCAGGAAGTGAAGGTACAGAGATTGCTCAACTAGCTGGAACAAAGGTTAAAGTGACATCTGCGTTCACATCTGTGGGAGAGACGTCAGTAATTGTCGATGACCATGACTGAGAATGTCAGACTGTCAGCTAGAACGCTCCATTTATTTAGAGAGGGGTTATTATGCTGCAGTGCGTCAACAGCCTCATTACAAAGATGAGTTCAGTGGGTTCAAAAACCAGAGATGCTGTTGTGCAGACATGTGAAAACAAGAGATGAGTCATCCTTCACCATGAGGGGATCTGGGGGATCTGGTGGCTCTGGTGTTCTGCAGGGGCATGGCTCGGGTCCACTTGTCTTCTTATGGGGTCGATATAAATCAATGCAAACTGAGTGATTGTCGTTATCCTAAAATGAAGTGGTTTCTTCCAGGATGCCAGAGCACACATCCACAGGACACAAGGGGTCACCGGAGGGTTCGATTAAAACGGCGTGAATCACACAATACAGCCTTCAGATGGCAACTAAAGTTTTGGACCAACATTTCTGACAGCCGCCAAACACCTAATGAGGGAATAAATGTTGGAAAAATGCTGTTGGTCCCTCCAGTCGAGTTCAAGACTCAGGGAATCGGTGCCAAGGTGCACTGAAGCTGTTCTGGCAGCTTTTTAAATCATTTATTCAACAAAAAAAAATCAAGAATATTCTCCTGTGGATAAAGTCTGGCCTCAGAAGCGAGAATTTTTATTGTTTTTTAGCAGAGATAACTTGTTGTAGGCATGATTGTCCACCATCTCTAATACCCTCCAGGCCAAATTCTTTCAGCTGCATGATGTTTGAAGGTTGCCTTGAATGTACTTTCTGTTTTAAATGCCCCCCTCCCACAACATTTAAATCTTTTTTTTTTAAAGCTGGATTGCTCCATAACTCTGCATTTCTTCTTTATGAGTCGTTCCTTGGTGGTTTTACTTCAGTTTAACTCTAAAGCTCTTTTTGGACAACAAATTCTGTCTCCTTGCTTCCCTCCTATGCAGCTCGAAT